CCAAAAATAAGTCAGTGTAGTACCTAACTCTGTGAGAGGCTACTGACACAACTGTGGAGAAAAGCCTCCCAGCGAGTCAAAACATTCCTCTCACCTCTGACTAGCTAAGCCGGGTCATTTACTGGCACTTGCTCTCCTGGTTATAATCTGATACGAGGCCGAAACGCTTTTCTAATTTGTGATTGATAAGCCTTGACACTACGGCATATCTTTTTTCATGTTTAGCAGCGCGGCACTTTTGTATTTACAGAGCAGTTACACTATAGTCATTTCATTCTCGCAGTCATGTTGCAACACTAATGCTTCTGAGGACTGATATTAGTCATGCCTGTCTGTTGTTTGCTTTTACTTTCAGAGCAACAACAAGGAGGTAAAGTAGAAAGAGGGGTATAGAAAAGGGGAATAAATGTCAACCAAATAGTACGAATAGCAGAGAATCAATAATCAATATCAGGCCAGCCACCTAAGAAATGGCAGAGAAGGGAGGAACGTAGTAAACAACTTCCCGCGCCCCCTCCCATTTCTTTCCCCCCCTTTACTCCCTCCCTCCCTCCTTTCACTCCCTCCTCACTTTTGCACACGTTGTTCATAACTGCTGATTTCCCTTTGGCCATAGCAATAGTATCCAACCCACCCACCCCCCACATCATTCACATGAGGGCTGGCGTCTGCCCCGAGAGCTGCCTGTCATTTCCAGGGCTTTTTACTCCGTCGGTATTAGTGCAGAGCCGTGCTCACGGGCTTGTAGGGGAGGGAGAAGCAGCCAAATTCCTTTACTACTACCACCGGTTTGGATCATTAAATGTGCGCCGCTGCCTAATTATAACACAGCGTGGCTTTAAACAAAGAAGCGGCTATAATGTTTTAAACCCCCGAGATATAGGAATTGCAGCGGAGGCTGCAATAAAGCGGAACGGAATGACAGGTGTCTTGTCAGACCTGCACCATGCAAACATCTGCTGCAGCGAACTTCATTCAGTGGCATTAACGGGGCTTTGCAATAAAGCGCATAGCATTTGTGTATTCAATTTTAGCTAATTTCCCCCCCTCCCTCGCATGCTATGCAAAAAACGTGGCCTGAACAAACCAAATAACGTTATCTGCTTTCGGTTTCCTGTACAGTCAACATTGCCCCTCAAGGGAATAAACCTCATGAGTGTGCGAGATCACCCTTGATTTTCACCGCATATTCACTCTTTAGTCATAATAACTGTCTTATAATAATCCAGCCTCAGAGACACGCTCTGCAAAGTCTTTTGCATGCACGAAGGAGGTGGAGGGGGGCAAAGAAAAATCAGAAAACATTTACTCGTGGGTAAACATTAGCCAGACAGCAATTTTTTTTTCAGTCAGCACTCACATTATTGTGAGCAATAAATCAACAAATCTATCAACACTTACCTCTTAAATTGTCCAGAAACGGTGTTCACATTATTTGGCTCTGTGTCCTGCCTCAGTGTGTATCAACGTGGTGGCCACATATTTTTTAATCTTCCCACAGCTGAAATACCGAAACCAAAACAAGGAGGGAAGAAAAAAAAAAAAAGATGTCAGATTTGGACTGCTGCTTTTAGGATCCAACTCCTAAAGCATGGACTGTGAGCTACAGCTAAAAATGAGTATGCTTGTATTTGATCTACAACCGCTGCTGTTTGGTTCAAAACCATAAAAGCAGCCACAAAGATCTCAAACTGAAATCACTGCACACAGCTTTTGAACACCTGCAAAAAAAAAAGACTGCCAGCTCCAAAACACAAAGTTGTGAAGGTGGAAGCTGAGTGCCAACATGTAAAGCATCCCCCCCACTGGAAGAAAAAAAATGTATTTCCATAATAGTAAGCACAGTAACAGGCAAAGCGGTAAAGAAATAGAGGTTTAACAGCCACTTGGTGCTCAATATAACCGATGCACTGCGAAAGGTTTGTGTTTATTTTCTACCAAGCTAGCAGCTAGCCGTCCGTCCAATAATAGACAGCCCGTGCTACATTTTGTATAAATGGCACTGGCAGAAGCTAACTAGCCATCTATCAGCAGCCAGTTTGAGGACGATTTGGGCAAATTTCGCCCCGCACAGCCTCAACTTACACTGTACACCGGCGAGAAATGAGTCGCAGACGCCTACAGCTTTCGTACAATTTGTGTAAACCGAGCGAATGTGACACAACCCGGGGACGAGTGATGTACATAATCTTGCATCTCCGTCACATTCTCGTAGGCACTCGTGTTACTACATCTCAGCTACGACGGCTAACGATGCACTAGCAAGTGAGCTAAAGCAGCAGGGAAAAAAATATATATATCGCCCAACGTTGCTTCAAAGACAAACGCGCGATTGAATCGACCGGGAAACGAGCCACGTAGAGAGAAAAAAAATACGGCGAATTATATCCCAGTGGTGTAAGAATAACAGATGCAGCGCCGTGTAAGGTTATTAAAAAAAACACTAACTGTCAACAAAATGGCGGCTGCGTTGAATCAACAGAGACCCGAAATGGATCTCCCTTTATTTCTCCTCTCCCGGTGCTAAAATCCTCTGTTCCTTACAGCGACTGGTGTCCGTAAAATGTCCCCGAGATGCTCCGAAATCCGCTCCGACACGCCGTTAGCTGGGCCTGGATGTGTCAGCACGGGCCTCTCTCGTTAATCGGGCCTCCATGTCTGCTCAGCCCGTATCGCTACTGTGTCAGTACAACACGGGCATTCTCAGTCCCAGCGAGGAGGGAGGGAGGGAGGACGGACCGAGGAGGGCGGAGGGGAGCGAGCAGGAGGAGGAGGAGGAGGAGGAGAGGTGAGGAAAGCAGTGCAAATGTCGGTTGTGCGCGGTTGTTGCGGTCATTGACAAAAAAAAAAAACGTTTTGTTATTTCGCTATGTTGAGAGCCGTGTTTCTGACCGGAGGAGGAGGAGGAGGAGGGTGTGTTTTCTCCTCTCTTCTTTTTTTTCTCGCTGGTATGCGCCGGTCAAGTGTCAGAGCGGCGGTGCCCGGTTTCAGCGGCCACGGAGGGTCACAACGCAGCGCTCCGGTAAACAGTGCAGGCGGAGGGGAAGGCAACGGGAGCTTTATAGCCTATAAATAAACCATTCTGCTCTATAAGGACGTCCCTCTGTTCTGGTGGAGCCAGAGCAGCAGCACCGAGCCACAAAAGTCGCGTTAAATTCACCTGACCGGTACCGCACCTGGCTGTAAATGAACAGGTAATTTTACTGATTAAGTGTTGAAGAGCGGCGCTGGTGGCCAGAGAACTGATAGGAAATGAAAATAATCGGTTCTAATTGGATTGCAACTGATTATGTTTTTTTATTATTGATACATGTGGGTGTTTTTTTGTGGTTGTGGTTTTTGCCTATTTAAAAAAAAATAAAA